TCAGAAAAAAAAAAAAGCTTGTAGAAGTAAAGATTTAAGAAGAAGATTATAATAACTCGCATATTGAAGGTAGCTAATAAGAAGTATATAAAGATAGAATTAAACTGAAGAAAAATAGCCAAAAGCAAAGGATAGCACTTAAAAAAGTCTACAATATCTCAAGCTTTATATAAAAGAAGAATAATATACCAGAAGTAGTATTCAATCAAAAGTACTTAAGAAAAATAGGAAAAAGAAACCAAAAAAAACCAGAAAAGAAAATGTAAAAAAATTTAAGAATCTAGAGCATGTTATAGTAGAAAATAGTTAGGAAGCAGAGCTAATTAACCAAGTTATTTAAAACAAAAAAATTAGAAAAGAGTTAAAAAATAAGTTAGAAGCAAATAAAGAAGAAAAAAAATAGTATTTTATACAGATGGCTTACTCAGTAGTAGAGATATTAGAAATAGAATAAGGATAGAATTTAGCATAGTTCAAATAGATAGTGCAAATAATGTAGTTTTTTGTTATAAGGAAAAGATAGAAAATTAGTTCTCATCTACTCATGCAGAGCTAGTAACTTGTCTAATAGCAGTTTTATTAGTTCCTAATAGGTGCAAAGTAAAAATAAGAATAGATAGCATATGTGTAATCTTTGCAATCAAGAATTGTCTTAAAAATAAAAAGACATATAAGTAGTTAGAGTTGAAGAATAATAATATTTTGTATGCAATCAAGAAAGCCTACAAAAGCAAATCAGTTCAGCTAATATTCACAAAAGTTAAAAGCTATTCAGAAGATACATATAATGACCTCATAGATAAGCTTGTAAAAAAAAAAATATATGAGGCAAATATTGTGGAACTAAGCAATATTAGTAATAATAGTATAAAGTATATTCCTGAATAGAAAGAGCTTAGTTTAAAAACTCCTCTAAGGGCTTTTATCAAAAGAGTAGTTTAAACAATATACAAAACAGAATAGACCTAGTTAAGAAAAAAAAATAATGAGAAATATCAAATAAGAATTTACAAACAGGATTAAAAAGCTTTCAAAGATATACTTGAAAGTTGCTATAAACAATATCAAAATTCTGAAGTAAACTATCTGTGATTATTCAAAATTAAATATATTGAAAATTTTTTTTTAACTATTGAAACCTTAAACCGCAAAAGGCTATAACTGTACAAAAATAGCTATACAAAAGATGTTTAAAAGAAAAAGAAACAATTAGACATTTGATTACTTGTGAAAAAACATATTAGGTATTTGAAAAAATTGAAGAAGAAATATAGAAATAGCTATATGAAAATAAAAGGAAAGAAGAAAATTGAGATCTAATGAATATATACTAAGTTATCTAATATAAACAGAAAATAAAACAACAAAAGAGAAAAGAATAGTTAAGAGACATCTTTGTTAAAAACAATACTGAAAAAATCAAGTCTATTGTTGGCTCTGAAAGTAAAACAACTAAATTCTGAAGCTTATTCTAGTATATTTAGATAGAATTAGTATATAAGAAAATTTGAAAAAATTAATACAAAGACATGAAAGTATAAGAGAAAAAAGAAAAGATCTCAAAAAAAGAAAAATACGCACAGAAAGAGAAAAAGAAAAATAATCTAAAGAAAAAGTCTAAAAGAAAAAAAAAACAAACTATAAAATAGATGAGAATTTAGAAAATTATAATAGTAGTCTTAAAATAGTATTAAATAGTATAGCAAAGAAAGTAAAAGAGAGAATTTTAAGTAGTTGAATTTAAAGTTAGTTATGATAGGCTATAGCATCCTTTCTATACTAACTTGTAGTTTATAGATTATAAACTACTCAAGTATATAACAAAGATTACTATAGCAGATCGTACATAGGTATCAATATGATAATCAGATGAGTCAGAGCTTAAAAAATTAAACATTAGATAGTATATAGCTAAATAATATTGTTTTTAAATAAAAAACAAATCTAAATAAAATCATAGCATGACTGCTGAATATTAAAAAAAAAAAAAATTATAGTATTAATTTATTATTATATTATATTATATTTTGATATTCAATATTACAATATGCTTTTAGTTTTTGATATTAATTATAATTAATAAAACATTATATGTAATTATTAAAAAGATAAGTTTTAAAATTAAATTTCTTTTTTTATAAACTTAAAGAAATATGCTAGAAGTAAATCAGTAATAATTTTATTATATAACTAATAGCTATACTAAGATCACTAGATCTTATTTTTAAATTATAATTACAAAATTGCTAATTCAAATCTTATTAAGAAAAATTAATTATATTAGAACTATATTAAAGATTTTTAAAAACTTTTTTATTTTAAAAATAAGAAATTGGAATTATATACTATCAAATTAAAGATCCAAAAATATAATTTAATATATTGTAAACATAAATCATATGTAAGAACCTTACAAATTGTAATAAATAAAAGAGCACTACATGCGCCTCTAGATGTATACATCAGGAATAATTAAAAATAAAAATAAATTAAAAAAAAAGCAAATCTATTAAATTTGAAAACTTATGAAAGATCCAATTCTACAAATCAGTTGATATGATTTTTGTTTTTATATTTTTATTTTTATATTCACTAGAGTGTCCAGATTATGCGATGCGAAATTTTCGCATCATATAATTAAGTAAAATAACGTGGATAGTATGTGATTGGTGAAAGTATGAATTTCAGACACAAAAGTTTGTTATACATTGACGTAGAAGAAAGATTTCGAATAATCTAATGATGATAATAATAATATATTTAAAAATTTCATATAATTGGGAAATAAATTCGCATCCATTGCATAATTGACCTCAGTTCGCCAGCATACCTTTAACAAAATAATGCTTTGATTTTCACGTTACACTTGATAATGAGTTCTGATTGGTCGATCAGAACGCACTTGCGCTAAATTAGATTAGAGAAAATTTAACTATTCTTATCGTTATATGGATTAGTAATTAATATTTTCATTTAAAAAAAAATTGTATAGTCAAATTGACAGACGGATCTTCACATCATAGGCGTAACCTCGTTAGTGATGTATAAAAAATCAATATGCAATCTATCAATATGCAATCAAATAAAATTTGTAATACAGTAAGTGATATTTTAATTATACGTACGTTCATAATCTCCAAATTTTTATTAACATTTAATGAAATCACATCACATTTTTAAACAATTATACAAAAACGTACACAATGAGAGACACATGCATGGAAAAAAAAAAATTGGCGTTACTTATTATGGTGATAGAAAATGAATTAAAAAAATGATAAAATTTTATTAATACGTAGAATTAAGACACACATCAATATTAACTGTTAACAGCATATTGTCATTTTTTAATAAAATATCTTGAGAAGTTACTTTTATCATTGATTTTTTTGCTCGCTCATCAAATTTATAACAAATAAATTAAAGAAATCTCAAACATACTCTTTTAAGATCTAATAGCGATAAGGTTTTATTATTAGCATGCAAGATACAAGTTTATGCAATATGCAAAACATTTATTAAACTTTTATGCATTTCAATTTTTTTTTTTTTTTTAAAAAAAACAGGTTTGGTCAAACGAATGCAGTAAAATAAAATAGGGTTGGTCAAACGAATGCAGTTAAACAAACGAATGTAGTTAGGAATGTAAAATAAATATGCTTCTTTTAAAGCTGACAAAGAAATAAATTAGAATTGTGTAGCGCGATATGCAATATGAGAATTCCCTTATGTCGAGCAAAATCGGCGATCTGCAATGGTTTTAGAAATATTATATTTTTTTTGATATAAAAGAACGTATGTACGTACCTTAACTAAAATTTCGTTCTGCACATTTTTAGAGGTCGAAAGGTAGTTGTTATATTAAAATTTTATGTTAATTACGCACACCACGCCATATATAAATATTCCGCAATTTTATTGGTTCCGGACATATACTGTGAGTTAGTTTTCACTTCTGTACTTGACGTAAGGAAAACCCCTCAAAAAACAGATAAAACAGATATGCAGCCCAGTTTTACCTTTTATATATAAAATTCCCTTATTCTTAAATGTCACAAAAAGTAGAATCCTTTTTTATAATTTATTGTACGATTCATAAAAAATAACATTCAAAGGTTGCCTGCTTTAAAATTCTTCTTCACCTTTTTTTTTTTTGTATAATGGATTTACAAAGTCAAGCACAAGACATTTTGGATTTGTCGAGCCACGTAACTTGTATGCATTTTTCAATTATTATAAACCTGTTCTCTCGGTACTGTGGTGGCTTAGACTGTATTAATTTTCCTATTTTTTTTTAACTTTATTCTCTTATAATTCTATTCCTTTTAAAAGTATTACTACAGAAGCAAACAGACACTCTCATAAGAAAACGAACTTTAGTGAAGAGGAATGACGACGAAGCAGACTTGGACGAAAATCTGGCTTACGACATCGCTTTGGCTTCAAGGTCTTTGCATGGTAACAGGAATGATCTTATTGTAGCTATCATGTTTTTGGTTTCCTCTTGTTATAACAATATTCAACCTGTGAATAAGACGAACGTAAAAGAGGATCGTTAAAAAAGCTATATCTATTAATATTAATCCTATCTCGTGTTCTTCTTACAAATTTATATAGTACTAGAAATACGACGTGAAATTCGTTCTGCAATGAACGAAATGTCTGAGATCAAGGAACAACTCAATAATAATCAAGATAATCTTCCTAGTAGTTGGCATGATTATATTCAAGATACTATGGAACACCTACATGTATTATTGAAAAGAGGAATTGAACGTAAGCATAAGAATTACATATTATGAATTTTGTTCAATTTGCCTTTTTTTATATTTATATATATATAATGCCCTTATATTATAAATAGTTGCTTCAATTGAAATTCCAAACCCTGAAGAGAGTAGAAAAACTGTATATTATGACTATGAATATGAAACTGAGGAGTCTTTGTCTCCTAATGATCTGGTTTGCTGTGACGATCGTATTTATAGGGATGATTCTTCTCTCTCAGATACGTCAACACGTAGTAGACCTTCTAGTATTATGTCTCCACCATCACCTACTTCTGATTCCGTTCAAGAATGTTGTTTGAAGCAAAATTTGGTTCGACGTCATACAATGGACAATGAAAGCATCTCTGCTGCTCGATTATTCATAGGTAATCTTGGTTTGCAACAGCCTCCCTCCAAGGCTTCTACTACTACTTCTATTTCACAAGATCAAACTGAAGTTGGTACTTCACTTAACACTGCTAATTCGTCGTTAAAACTTGATCACGATATATGTTCTTCACCTGCTGCTCGTCAGCTTTCACAATTAATAATTTATGAATCTGATGATATAACTGATGAGTTTGTCGATGCAGTAGAGGGTCAAGATGATAATTTCCCTAATAATGGTCATAATGAACCATTACTCATAAAAGAACTTACTTCTCACTCTAAAAGATCAAATTCTTCACGTTCGCTACCAACTCTTCTAGAATCTGTTCCAGAAGAACCTATTATACGTTGGGTAGGTACTATTATTATTCTTAAAAAATAAAATAAAAAAACTACATGTATACTAGTTTATATTTTATTTATATATATAATATATATATTGATTAGGGTGATAATGAATACTCTAGTTCAGTTTCATCTCTTGCTCTTTCGGCTCTGTCTTCTCAAAATTCGTCTGCTTATCGTATTAGTCTACTTCGTCACAAACCTGCAAATTTATTTGCTCAACAAGTTAATGTCAGTAATCCAATACGAATTGGTGCAGGCTATGGTTCATACATTGCTTATACTTGTACTATCAAAAGTCAGGAGGTAATTAATTATTCTTTCGTTTTATATATGTTAATTTTTATTGTACTTTTCCATTAACTATTTATTAATTTTAGGGTGCAAGTGTCATTGTCAGAAAACGTTATTCTGACTTTGTTAAATTGCGATCGCAACTGGTAAAATCTTATCCAAAATTCAGAAAATTAATTCCTTGTTTACCACCAAAACGAATAATGGGAAAATTTATGCCTGAATTTATTGAGAGACGCCGTAAAGATTTGGAATATTTTTTGGCTTACGTGTTGTTGCATCCAATACTTGGTCCAACAACTGTTGTGAGAAGATGGTTTTCGGAATAATTTGTAAGATAATATCATCTTACGTTTGTTAAGATAAGATGTTGGCATTAATTGAATTTACCTACATTTTTGATGGTTATTTTGACGTTCAATATCAATATTGCATTTCTTATTTAAAAAAAAAAAAAAAAAAAAAAAAAAAAAAAAAAAACATTCGCATCTTTTAAATTTATGATACTTGACATTAGTAGATTTGCTTTTATCTACTATTATAGACAATATTTAAATCATTGTTTACGAAATAATTCGTTTTTATATTTCTTTTTGTTTGTATATATTAATGTTTTGCATCACAACTATATGTAATTTATTAGTCCTAAGAAGCGCTTTTTTTTTTTTTTTTTGTAAAGATAATTTTATTTTAATGAAAAAAAATAATGTTTTTATTAAATTTTTTTTGTTTTTTTTTTTTTTTTAAAAAAAAAAATAATTTACATTTAATGATTTTGATTTTTTGTTTAAAAAAATATATATATACAAGTTACTTTCGTTATAGTAAAAATTGGCTTATAGTGAAAAAAATTTTTATATTTAATAAATATTTGCTCGATATAGCGAAGTTAACCAATAAACTCTCGATATAAAGATTTTTAACCAATTATATTATTTTAAATATTTTTTTGATATAGTAAAAATTTTTAAATTTTATATACAAATCAATCTCGTTATAGTGAAGTTGTCCCGGGTTAAAGAATCACTAAGCTTCTTGCATATATCTTCTAGATTTTTTTTAATTTTTTTGTTCTCTATAGTTTTCTAAATAATTATATATTCTAAGTTTCTTGTTGTGATTTTAACTTTAGTCTTTTGGTTAATATTCAGCTTTTTAATAAGTTCTTTATATTCTAAATAAACTAATAGTAGAGCTTTTAATTTGAGACTATTAAATATTTTTTATATATTAACTACTTGATGTTTCTTTTTATACTTAATACTAATCAGATAATAGTTGCTATTATAACTTCCAATTGTATATTTTAAACATTTAGAATAAAATTCTTTTTTTTCTACTTAGGTTATCAGACTGCTATATAAGAGATCTGGAGTTCAAATCTTACTGTTGATGAATTTGAATAATTACCTGGATCTTTGTATCTAACTTACAGTAAACTCTGTCTGTTTCTGAGGTTGTAACTCTGTAAATCATATTACATCAATATTATCTGAATATTAGAAGTATAATAAGATATTTAGCAAGATATAATATTACATGAATAAATCTTGATAGAATCTATAGCAAAGGATCTGCATAGTAGAAATCCTGAGTTGATGAAGTAATATAGTTTTCAATAGTCATACTAGCTAATACTTGATCCAAAAAGGAAACTATCATTAAAAGATACAGATGGAGTCAGATATACATAAATCTATTCTACAGAGAGAATCAGTAATACCAACTTGATTTGGTAGCTAACTGAATTGGGAGGATCTGCTTCATAAAACATCTGAGAAGATAGAATACAGAAAACTAGTGATAAGCTATGGTAGGAACTGAGGTTGTATAAATATCTACAAGGGTCTAAACTAGGTGAATCTGTAAAATAGGTATAGATCACTCTAGTAGGTATGCTTTAAAGTTAACTAGCTCTGCAATATCTATAATATATTAGGTACAATATATCTTGAGAGGACCTAAGCTGTTCTGAATAAATAGATCTATAATGAGCTAACTAGCTTAAGCAGTTAGGTATTGTGATGATATTAGGTTGGATCTGTATGAGTTAATGAACAGAGTATTTAAATAGGTAGTTTACAGGTGGGTTACAGATATAGTAGTATAGTGTAGAACTAATCAAGTAGTCTAATCATCTGTGTGGTGAACTACTTAAAATAGACAATGACTAAAGTTGTATGTATGGCTTGTTGTACACTCTTCATGTAATTACAAACAGTAGAGATTATCAATATATATCCTATATGCAATTCTAATAAAATTCTTTCAGCAATACAAGCTACCTTAATAACAAAAAAAAAAAAAACTAGCAAATAAAAAAGAAGTATATAAATAAGCTAAATTAATCTATAAAGAAAACACTAAAAAAGAAAAAGCTACTTAGATACTAGATAGATAGAATATAGAAACTCCTATCTTAAAAATAAAAAAAAGAAAAGAGGAACAGACAAAATCAGAGCTAAAAGAAGTTTTTATAAGAAAGAATATAAAAGATATAAATATTGCAGATCAACAAGAAGTCACATATAAGAAGAATACTAAAGTGCAATAAAACTTTAATAATATAAATGAAATTAAAAATAAAAACAAGATAATAGTTTAGAATCTATTAAGTTAGGCAAAAAGAATACAAGTTTTCAAGATAGTGTATTTTATAAGAAGAGTTAAATATATAAAGATGTTTAAAAGTACATATAATAAGATAAGAGCAGAAATTGAGTTTAAAACAGGTACTTTCAATGAAAAGAAAAAGAATAAGACTTGGTGTTTGCTATTTATAAACAAAATATTAGTAAAAATAATAGCAAGTACTAATAATTATAAATTATTTTATACAAGAAACAGATTTAGTAAAAAGCTATTAGACTTACTAGAGAATATGAATAAAGTACTACTTTGAAAACAAATGAAGAAATCTGAGCCAAAGAATTATATATCTTCTAAAACTCTAATAATAATAATATAAGAAATATGATAGTATATTTTGAAAATCAAGAAAATATGATAAATATTTCTAAGTTTTTAATAAATTATTACAACAACAAGTTAAGATAAGCAAATACAAGAGATCAAGAATCTAAGTTGTTTAAAAGCCAAAGAGTAAAAGATTATAGAGAAACTAAAATATATTTAAAAAGAAATGAAAAGAATTTAGAAAAAAGAAGAGAAGTTAAACAAGAACTAGAAGTTAAATACTCAAAATTTGTACAAGAGAAGTATAGAAAAACATATATAGCATCAAGTGATAGTGAAGAAAAAAGGTATAAAATAGAAAAGAAGAATAGTTTTTAATGAAAAATAGAAGTAATGAAGGAGAAAATTAAATAAGCAAAGCTATTATAGAAATAATATATAACTTAACTAGTCTAGCATATACAAGAGTTAGGAGAAGAAGTAAGCAAATAAAAGTGTAATACTTCAAATTGTTTCTAAAAGTTGCTAAAGTTTAACTATAAAAAGTTTGTATAGATCAAAAAGAAAAACTTAAGCATATAAGAAAAGCATATAATTGTACAAACCAAAAGGACAACAAAGAGACAAACGAGCAAAGAATAGATATAATAAAAGATATAAATACGATAACAAAAAGCAAATAGAAAAAGAAAATCAAAATAAGAATATATAATATAAATAGACTAAAGAGAGATTACTTAAAACTAGAGTAGTTAGTTGAGTACTATAAGGAAGAACAATTTAACTTAATAAGAATTATTAAAACTAATATATGTATAGAAAAAGAAGAATAGTTTAATATAGAAAATAGAGTATATAAAAGCTTCTGATCTGATATCAAAAGAAATCAAAATAAAGGTTTGGAAATTGAACTACTAGTAGATTAAAATTGGTGTTGCTATATAAGAGCTTATAAAAAATTCAATTTATATTTACTTAAAGCAGAATTCTACTTTAGAAAAGTTATGTTATAGGTCTAAGTAGTATATATACTATTTAAAAATAAAGAAATTACTAAAAAAGTTCATAAGATAATTCTAGAAAAGCTAGTTAAAAAAGAAAAATACTTTCTACATAATAATAAATAATTTTAATATAGCACTTAACAGAAAATTAGATGAGCAGTAAAGAAAAAAAAAATATTAAATACTAATTTAAAAGTTATAAAGTAGTTTAAAAAAACAGATCATATAAAGACTTTTTATTTCTGCAATCTTAATACAATTAAGTTCTCCTAGTCAAATAGTAGAGTTGTAACAAGAATTAATCATATATAATATTATCAGAACTTAAAACTATTTATTGCAAAAAGTAATATAGATAGTGCAAAAACTATAACAGATAGTAATTATAGTATAGTTTGACTACAAATAAACAATTCAAATCTATTCAAAAGAAATAAAGTAAGAACTAAAAAAGAATAGAATAAAATTAGAAGGATCTATTATTATCACAAAGCTATAAAAGAAAATTGGAATATATATAGTTAGAAAGTAGAATAAATATTTTGAAGCTCTAAAAAAAAGCAAAGAAAACAAAATAGTAAAATAGATAATACAGAAAAAGAAAGTATTAATGAAAGTTCAATCAACTCTTTCTATTGATCCTCTGACCACTTTTTTCTGAAAAGAAAATCTAACTTGCGAAAACACTTTTTTATTATACAATAACAATATTCTTTTCTAAGTGTTTTATGACATATTGTGGGCAAATACCTTCCTTGCAAGCTCTTTTTAGCTGTATTATCTAGAAGTAATTTCTTGGGTACTATCGAAAAAGTAGTAGCAGAAGCAAGAAAAATTGTCAAATATCTCTGTTATTTTAAGTGATGCTCACTAGTAGTTTGCTAGCACAGGGATAGCTAGATATAATATATATTTGTACTGTTTAATAAGAAAACAAGTAGCAAAATCTTATTCTCTTAGAAGTGGTCTCTTCTGACCTTATCTTTTGGATTTTTTTCTCTAAACTGTTTGGTGTGTTTTGGGGGATTTGGCTTACTCTCTCTAAAAGATCTACATCACGCATCAACAAACACTATTGGATATTGCCTGTTGTTTCCCACGCTGTACACAAACAACAAACACGTGTTAAGCCTAACACGTGCTATAGGAAATCTGTATTGATAATATTCTCTCTGTAAGATAGTACTTTACTTCTTTGAGAATCTAAAGAATAACTTAGGTGTTATATATACACAATTTTTATCTGGTCTCCTACTTTGGTAGTGGGACTTTACTTTGTTTGTTTTATTTTCTTTTTCTAACTTTGCTTCTTTTTTTGCTCTTTCTCTTAATATATTTACTATTTTTTTATTTTTAAATACTATTCTTTTTTTTACTTACCTAGTAGTTCAGAGATTTATATATTATAT